AAATTTTTTAGTCGCACATGAGCGGGAGACATACCCTTAAAATTAAAGCCTCCAGCTTTTCCCGTTTCCGAGTTAGCAGTTTTCCTATCAAAATTTTCACGTGTCCGTATGTGAGCACTAGACGGTTTTAAGGAGCTGAATTTAAAATTTTTTGGTAGGGAACATAATCCTAAAGTTTCAGCTTTCTAGCTTTTTTCGTTCCTGGGTTAGTGGTTTTCGCGCCAAAATTTCCACGCGCTCGTACGTGGGCTCGGACGCTTCTAAACATCTGATTTTGCTCGTACATGAGCAGGGAACATTATCCTAAAGTTTCAGCTTTCTAACTTTTCCCGTTTCTGGGTTAGTAGTTTTCGCGCCAAAATTTTCACATGCCCATACGTGGGCTAGGGCGCTTCTAAACACCTGATTTTGCTCGTACATGAGTAGGGGACATTCCCTTAAAGTTCCAGCTTTCTAGCTTTTCCGGTTCTCGAGTTAGTGATTTTCGCGCCAAAGTTTTCACGTGCCCGTGCGTGAGTCCCGGGCAATACTGGGCAGCTGAATTTGAAAACTTTTAGTCGAGCATGGGTAGGGAAAAATCTCCCAAAGTTTCGACTTTCTAGCTTTTCTCATCCTCGAGTTATGAATTTTCCTGCCATAATCTTCACGTGCCCGTACGTGAGCCTCGGGCAGTCCTGGGCAGCTGAATTTGAAACCTTTTTGTCGTACACGAGTGGGGAACATTCTCCCAAGGTTTCAGCTTTCTAGCTTTCTCGTTCCCGAGTTATCGATTTTCGCGTCAAAACTTTCACGTGCTCGCACGCGGGGCCCAGACGTGCGTGGGGGTTGAAACTGCGGTTCTGGGGTGGTACCTGGCTGGGGAACACACTGGCCTTCAGCTTCAAAACCTGCGCGGTTAGCGAGTTGAAATACCCGGACAGACGAACACACACACACCCACACACACACTGACAGGGTCGTTGCAATATGCGTTTTTTGCTGCCTGTTGCAGCGCTCTAGCGCTGCACGGCAAAAACGCACAAAAATGCATTAAAGCAAAACTCATGCTGTACGTATGTGAGTTTAAGTAAATGCCTGTGTATCGGTACATGCACAATATCTTACAGCACACACGCACACAAATTCACAAATACACAAGCACACACGTACATGAACATGTACAAACTCGCCAACACATATACACACATAAACACACGTACAAAACACGCACATATGCATAAACGTATGCAGAAACACGGATACGAAAGCATACACACACACACACACAAGCAAACAAATAAGAAAAATTCAAACTTTCTGGCGGCATCAGCTCTTCAGTCGAATTATCGCGACAGACAGAAACTCATATGTGCATGCATAAACACACGCAGAAATGGTCTTTATCTAGTCGAACTATGTCTAGAATCAAAGGTCACGGCAAGGGCCAACCTCACATTTGGTTTTCGAACTTTTAAATCCATTCAGCAGTAAGGGCTCAAGATAATATGAAAGGTTTCTGGATATAAGTTAGGTTTTTTGGCTGCATTCAGTAAAGTTCTTCCCGATCTTCAAGCTTGAGTTTTTTTTAGTTGTGGTATAGTAAAAATTGCCAGTATTTAAATACGAAGCCAGAGGTTGTCTTCGGCTGCACAAGAATGCTAAAACGTAAAAGCAATTTTCACGTCCTTTTGCATCCTGACACAGTGAAGGTCGAGGTTTCGCCTAGCCATTTAGTATCATGTCAAAAACCAGTAGCTGTAGAAAAATACGTAATTACACGTAATTAAACTGCTGTCTTTTCCGATGAAGTTAAAAACTACCGTGACAAGGTAAAAACGACTTCTGTGCATTTTGCTGCATTCGTCCTGTGTGATCGTGCAAATTATTGTAAGACGCGCAGAGCAAAATTCTGCAACACCTTTTTTGCTTTTAGCTAAAAAGTTTGGACTCGATACGGAAAATTGAAAGGCCGCCATTAAGGTGCAGTAGCTCGATACCGTTCGATCTAGCATTCGGAGTACCGAGTACGCAAGTTCAAAAATATGAACGAATCACAAGTCAGCATGTTCGTTAAAATTAATGCAGCATTCAGCAGCGACATAGCCAGAATTTTTTTAAAACAAAATATTTGAAAATCATAATTATATAAGGTGCTTTTAATAGTTCTAGGGACAAAGTACTGTAAACTGGCTTTGACGCAAAGGGTAAGCGCTTAATAAGAACAGTAACCTGGCGGTAGCAACAACATTAGAATTTTTTCACTAGTAGATGAAAAACTTGCCAGACTAGCGTAAACTTTATCCTCTGTATCGCGCCCGACTATTGAATTTTGATTAATTGATAAAAATGACGAATTTTTTGCTGTATTCCCTTGCTTAAAATGGCGCTTAACTTGATATTTCGAAGTTGATTTTTGTTTTTGCTTTTGTTTTTTTTTTTTAATATAATTTGATAGCCTGATTTTTCCGCTTCAAATTTTTCGATCAACTTCTCCGTCTCGACGTTAACTTAACATGCTGCAGGTGGCCGAGGTCATGTGTTTGGCGCAAAAGCGATAGAAGAATGTGCAGCACGTCTGAATATGCAACTGATTATACGCACACACACACCATACGAGAACGGTTATTTCATGTTCGGTTCCGGCCGGATGTTGACTGTTTGGTCAGCAAATTGCCGGGGTGTGAAACTTGCAAGCACCGTTTGCGTTGATCCACAGATGCGTATTAGCATGCACTGTTTAACTCCAGTAGTTGTTAAAACTATTTCTGCAATGAGTAATGTTGGATCCACAAGTGAAACTCTTCCTCTTACTAGTAAAAGGTCCCCCACAAATTAATTTTGAAATGTGGGCCCATCAAATTGAGAGTTTAAAGTACATTCGCTGGGGACGATGCCAAAATGAAGGCTGCTGTTGAATTGCATCTCAAAATGGGTTTTTGAAGCAAATTCTAGGATGTGAAGGAGTTTTGTTAAAACAGTTGAACGTGAAAAATTTTTTGCTATCCCAGTGATTTACATTCCATTAATAATCTTTACACTAACGTCGGTTTTTTTTTGAAAAATTGTTTAATTTTTTAGATTTACAAAAGTTGACTGATTTTTTGGGCGTTCTGTTTTGTTGTTATGTTGCTGGTTTTGTAACATTTGCAAAACCTAATTTGTTGCATGAAATTAAAAATTACATCATGAAGACCTCCATTGTTTGTGCAGAGCCATCCATCTTTTCAATAGAAATACGTCTGTACGTTGCTACATATGTATCAGCTCTTTCTGTTGGGGAATAGTTATCTCCAACTCTTACCTACCACAAACAATACTGAAGCGCATCAGCTTGTCGAAAATTGTCCCACGGATGCGAACTCGTCCTTGTGCAGATGAATGCATTCATGCACAGCCTGGCAAAACAATTAGTTTCAGAAAAGCATTGCATGAAAAAGTGCTTAACTGCAATTTGAAGAGCGCAACATGGTTCAACTAAACGCATTAAACTGTGTCTGATAGTAGCTTTCTGAGATCTGTGAAATGAATTGTCAAGTTTCCTCGGGAAGCCAACTCTCTAGATTGCTTGATATATTGTTGTGAAGCCCTAGATACTGTAGTTTGTGTAAAATTATACATTGAGATTCTGCACAAGTAATAAATGCTTTGAAATGTAGTTTTTGAAGCAAAAGTACTGCTAATTCCCAGGCCAAACGCCACCTCAGAAAGGTGGTGCCAAATTACACACATGTCTGAGCTCCGCGCACACGTAGGTGAGAAAATTGCCAACTAGAAAATCTGGGAAGCCGAAATTTGAGAAGTTCCCTATCCACGTGCAATTTAAGGGCTTCAAATTTAACACCAAGCACCCTTGGTTTTCACGCATGGCCACGTGGAGATTTTGATTGGCCAACTCAGGGTCCAGATAGACTGACAAGCTGAAATTATGGGAAGGTATTCTCTCTCTGCTTGTGTTCTAAAAATTTTAAATTCACTTTCTAAGTATACCTGGTCCTCACTTACGGACACATAAAATTTTCAGCGGTTAAATTTCTAACTCGGGAACCAAAACAGTTGGATCATTTTCAATGAACTACTGGTCACCGAAAATCATTCATTTTCCATCATGCAAAATTTACAATGATTTGCGGTACTTAGTGCACAGAGTTAACAAACAATTTTATACAGTTAAAGCAACATTCATTCTGTACAGTTAAGAACCTGGTTATTCAAGCTTAGCGCAAAAAACATAATCCCACCGGCAAGCCTCGTGCTTGTAGCCTAGGTATTTGATGCCTTTTTTCCTTTCTATGAGTTTTTCCACATTTATGTAAATGGAAAATGCATACTGCAAAGATCCATGCTGTGCGTATTTGTATGTACACGTATGTGTGTGTGTATTTGCATGTGTACGCGTCTGAGCATATGTCTGTATGCATATATATGTGTTTGCATTTGTGTCCGTGTGTTGTGTATGTGAGCGAGTGGATTTTGTACCAATTTTCAACTCCAGAATCGGAGAAGCCAGGAAGCTGAAATTTTTCGAACGTTTTTCACTGTAAGTGTCACTCTCATAGCCTGAAATCATCGCTCACGTCGCTTGGATCTCGCATACTGACGACGAAGAAACATACAGATTTTCCGTTAGAAAACGATTCACAAAACAGACAGTCTAGAAAATTGCAGCTTCGCATTGATGATCTTTGTTCATGTGTGAGCTAATGATTTCTAATTCAGCTAATCAGCACGCGTACGTCATGCGGCCAGTTACGTCAAAATTCGCAGTAAGCACCGTGCCAACTTGGAAACCAGCGGGAAAATAATAGCTGAAATTTTGTCAGGATATTTGTCGGTCATCTGGGGAATCGCATACCTAAATTAAGCTTCGAACTGCGCTTGCATCAAACTGTAGGGCAGTTCAAGAAATCCATAGTGATTTCTTGAATCAAGCGATTTCTGGTACCGGGCAAGCTGTCAAGCTGGAATTTTGCAAGAACATTCTATATTCAGGTGTAGTCTAAATTCTGCATGGAGGCTATATTTCCTGCAAATGGGCATGAGCAAATATTTAGTTTTATCGCAAGTTCAAAATCAAATGCATTTTGCGGATTTCGTTATCCCTTGCCCCTGTTCATTGCTCAATTTGCGTTTTTCGATGAACAATCTGTCATCTGAGATTTGCAGCAAGCGCGCATGTCGGAGTTTAAGATCTCACACGATCCCGTGGTAAAACAATGCCGTCTCAGCCGAAGCCCTTTCTGCCTTGTATGCAAGAAAAGGCCAAAATACACCCACTTGAGTCCACTGCAAAACAGCGATCATTTACGCTGTTAAAGACCTGACTGCGTTGTTTACCGTAAAAACACATGGTCGTTCCGGCAAGCCACGTGTGTTGCTAAAACCAATAGCATTTTATCATTCAACTAATGACTGATGAAAATATACTGTGCATTTTGAATATGTTACTGACGATGTAATGCCTTTTCTATAGTCCTTCAAAGCCTCTTTTTCTCACTTGCAGTTTTGAAAAAAAAAACCTGGTTGTGTTAGTGTTAAATGTGACAGCTTCCGAAAAGCGCTGTTTATAACGAGTAAAACTCGAAACTGCACCGACGATTTGTATATAATATCACATTTCATGGCGCAGTACAGTGTTGTATAATGTTGCACTTGCTTTGACATTGTGCACACCTCTCTGCTGTCGACTCTGCATAGTGAAATGGCTCTGCTGCGGTCTGCACTGAAAGGTAAGTCTGCTTCTGTTTATCCATGCATTCAGTCAGCAACTTTGTGGCATAGCATTTCTTATATGGCCATTTATTAGGTGGGGATTTGTTTTTCAAAGATTCTAGCAATACGAAGACATTTTTTAAAAACTTGATAAAGTAAATTCAATGAACTATTCACTGATTTCCGATGAGGGAAGGGGTTGAGGTTGAAATTTCTTTTAAATTGAAATTCTCAAAATTCACAATTTTTGCCCCAAATTTCATGTCTTCACAAAATTTTCCTTTCATAAGTAATTTTGGAGTATTGCATGTACATCTTCAAAGCACATAAAAAACATGCCACAGGTCTTTTAGTTACCATTAAGCATTAAATAAACAGTATCGCCGGGTCCACTGCCAACATTTATCCTCCAACGCTTTTCAAAATGCAGAATGCTCAAAAACATGACTGAGCCAGGGCATCTCTTAGACTGATTTTTTTTCATTACTTACTTCAGAGGCGCACTAAACTGGTTGCTGTCCGCCCAACAAGTACTACTCATCAATAAGCGGCGCCAAACGATTGTTAGGAGGGCGGGCAACTTGTTCTGTCCCTTGAGTTCTGTAGTGCTTTTCCATACAGTGATAATGACCTCTGTTAAGCTCTCTAGCAAAGTGATCCAATCTCCGGTTCGAAAAAAATTGCGTTGACATTCTAGCTTTATTAATTCTTTTAACACAGCAACTGTCTGCTGTCGGATCTTAGTTAGCAACCAAACTTTGCGCATGGAGATCACAAAAACTTTTGTAAACGCTGCAGTTTTTTTCTCTTTTTTCTGTATTAATCTCAGATAAATGGAAATACTGCCTCTCCCCTCCAGACCTGCTGGATTGAGCTCTTGACATAACTTAGATGCATCATTAAGCGCAAGTCCATAAAGCCAACAGCTAACTCTACCAAATCCAGCCCGTTACTTGCCCATAGCCTATTTAAAGAATATTCGCTTTAAACGACTCCTAAAATGATCTTGCGCGTTTCCCACTTGAAGTATTCATTTTTCACACATTAGAAATACAGAATTAAAAAAATATTTTAGTATTATTATTTGCGAATTGCGTAGCTTCTTGGGCGACCGAGTCGAACAGAAAACTGGAAGAAACGCTGATGAAAGCATACAATCGCAAGCATCGTCCAGTGAAAAAAGATTCAACAACGATGCAAATACAAATCTACCTGCTGATTGGGCACATTGAAAAAGTGGTGAGATTTCATGTATCAATTGTTTTTAAAGCGCCAAGTCAAATTCAAGAGGACAATTCAAAACACATATGCATGACTATTAGGACTACTCTCAGACTAGATCAAAGTGTTCGAATCAGAAGTTTGTTAAAATGCTGAGCAAGTGGGACAACTATCTTCTAGGCCAAAATTTTGCAGCATGTGCAGAATATAAGGTAAAAAGAGTTGAAACACGGTGGCCTTCATCTGTGATAATTTCTAGCATTCCAAATTGAACTTAATATGAATTTGTCCAGTTAACCTGAGCTTTAAATTTGTATTAACTAGGATGAGCATGAGCAAACGATGCTGCTACATGGCTTGCTCTGGGCATCATGGATCGACGAATATCTGCAGTGGGATCCGAACACTTATAACAACACAAGACGGATTGCAATTGAGAGCTGGAAAATTTGGCAACCCGCTCTCTCGCTGTATAACAGGTTTTTGTTCAAAAAATTCTATTTAGAAGCCACTTAGATCGCGCCGCCGATCGATTCGGAGATCCCACTGTGATTGGAAAGCAGCAACATGGTGAGCGCAAAAGTCTTGTCCCTCGAAACCTGATTAACAGATTTCAGTCGCCACTCATTTTATGCTTTTTGCGAGTGCGCCATGCTTTCAAAATTGATTCGATTGGTTGATTCGTGTCACGCAAATTATTTCGAGCCTCTTTTTTTTTATTACGATAAAACTGCATGCCAGAGACAACTTTGGCCACGATCTTAGGCCTGAATGCTAATAGTGCAGTAAAAGATGCTTGATCGCTGCAGACGTTCGGCTGTAGCAAAAGACAGAAGCGGCACCTGATATCAGTAGTATGAAAGCCGCATAACTGCAGATGAAGCAGTCTGTGTGATCGGATGTGCGATCCAGCACTTTCAGTCAAAATTGCTCTTCATTTCTTCGAAGAAATAACCTCCACACTGTGTCCATTCGCGCCCACGCACACACTATTTCCACTTCTCATTCAAATTTTGTTTAGTGCACGTGGCAATAGCTGGTATTTGCATATGGGTGGTTTGCCGGCGTCAGTGAATAGCGACGGTAAAGTTTGGGCATCTGGGTCGTTCAGCTTTCACGTAACCTGCATGTTCGATTTCACCAACTATCCATACGACGAGCAGGTAGGGAGTAACAGGAAAAAAGATCTATCTGAATTTTGGCTTGTGCTTGGTGACTAACAAACAGATCAATAAATAATGAGGTTGATTGTTTTCATTAGTCGGCTTTTGGTGAACTTTGCAGAGATTATAAACACGCTTTTGAGAAATTTTGTTAGTTCGATTACTTATTTTGGGGATAAAAACTCACTATGCGAAGTTAACGTATATATATATATATATATATATATATATTCATATATTTATATGGTTGTGTGTTCAAGCAAGTCAAATGCAGAACTGTAGAGGCCAACCAATTACAATTCTGAAAATACTGTTTTGCACGGTGCTGTGTGGAAAAGAATGTAAAATAACTTCGACTTCTGTTTGTAAACCTATTCAAGCTAACTTTTATAGCTCAAAAATCAAGAAATCATAAACGGGAAATTTTGGCACATTCACTGCATAATTTATGGCGATGAAATGGTGCTTAGCAGCATACCTCGCTATATCCTCGATTACGATTTCAGTCTCATAATTAAACCAAAAGAAATCACTCAAAAATTTAATAAGCAGCAGTGTGTAGAGACCCAGCATGCTTGCTCGTTTTTTCGATAATCTGGTATGGTGGGTTCTGAGTGTGTGAGTACATTTTATAATATTTGTTCATCAAAATGGTTTTTTTGATCATTTTGCCGCGAAAATAAAAAAATTTCTGTTTCATAATTTGCTTTCTCGTGAAGTTATAACACTGGTTGTATTTGAACTGGAAACTGCAAGACTCGGGTGATCTGGCCTTCAATTATTTTTTTAACAAAATCTGAAGATTTTCATTCCACAGCTCACCTTCCAATTTGGGTTCATTGTTATCTCTCGAAAATGATGAGTGCTTCTTTAATTAGTCAAATGCTAAGATTTATTTGCTTCAATTCCTGCCTTCGAACGGCTGCGCAAACCGGACTAGCAAATTTAAACGTCAACTCGCCACTGTAGTTTCCAAACAAATTGAGCTATTATTTCCAGTTCGATAAGCCAAAAATTACCATGCTGCATCATAGTCATCTTTCGCATATAATCAGTACTTCCATCGACTGTGCGTTCGACAAATCTGGCCGCGCAAAAGTTGAACCACCCTCGGCTACTTGTCATTTGTTCTGATACTAAGAATTTTCCGATCTGTGAAGCAGTCTACGGTTACAGGAATGTCCGATTGTGATCGCTGACTGGGTATATGACCTTTCAAAAGTCAACCTCTCGGATCCAGCCGGAAATACAGCGCTCAATAAGCCCGCAGTAAAGCTGAGTTATGATCCACTTAACAATGCAAATGCAAAACGACATGTAGCAGGTAATTTCACTGTTTTAGACTATATGCCGAATTTGTGGTTTCTAAACCAACCTATCAATTTAAATTATTTCACTGTGTGGTGGACAGAGATAGAGAAGTGTTCGGTTTTTTTTTTGTGCACTAAATCGTTGTTTGCAACTGTTACCAGTAAAAAAATAATTTTTTTCACCTTCTCTACGTGCTTTCCTATCAGTATTTAGTTATATACTTGCCATATGGCAGGTTTGCTGTGTAATTGCGATTGTAGCGTATAGTAGAATTTTGAAAAATTTCTAATTTCGGACGGTTCGGACTAGTTTTTGTGGTATTTGTTCAGATTCGGAGTAAACAGAAAGGGTTTGGGATATTCCAGTGAAGTTATCAGTAGTAGTTCTGTAATGCTGAAAAGAGATATAAAAAATTCAAAATAATTTGGAGTAATCAGTTTGCGGCATTTTTGAGAAGCGTAGGAAGGTGAAGTTTGAAAGGAAGAGTAAAAAGCCATTAACATGAAACTGAATGTTCAGCTCGTTGCATAATAGAAGAAAAAATAGTCGAAAAATGAGTTTTCAAATTTCATTGTCCCTCTGTGATGCGAAATTAAGGTTCCTGCTAATATTGCCATTTTAAAAATATTAAAATCCTCGAGTTCCGTGCCATACATAATGTGAGATGAATGATTCGTGTTCTTGAATTTGGATCTGAAATCGAAAATTCAGACTTGATGTCGTAAATATGTGAAGAGTAGCTAAAACCTCGACTTGAATAACCAGATATTGGAACTTTTAAAATATTGTATTAAGAAGCAGTGATTGCTGACAAGATAATTGAATAAAAGGTGAGTTTGAATGAAATAATATAAATTGTTGGAATATTAGCTTTTTAAAGAAAGGAAAATGAATTCATTATGCACGCACCTTGGAAAAAATGTTCAACAGACGCTAACCTTGGTCAGTCTGCCACCCTTAAAAATTTCCACTCCATTCATTTTCTTTTCGTTAAGCACTTTGTGCTGCATTGGGAACAGAGATTTTGCTGTGGCCTGCTAACTTTATTCGTTATAAAATTGGTCTCCGAGCGCAGTCCTTGAAATCGCTGTATATTTTAAATCTTAACCGCAAGCTACATCTCGTCAGATTTTATTGCTCGAGAACCCAAAAAGTCATAAGCTTAAATTTTGGGATCAAAATTTCAAATCGCGTAAGAGGCCACACAAGTGGAAATAATCTGCACATTCTTCTGTTTCCTAACCCATGGCTTCAAATTATATCTTGAGCTAATTTAATAAGAGCGTATAAAGCTGCAAGTCTGAAATTATCTTTTCAGTGTGGTGCAAATGAAATATTCTGAAATCAGCCCTGGGAGAAATTCGGTTTTGCTTTTAACTGAAGGCCTAAATTCATATCAGTTTAATAATCTCAGAACGAAGCTTTGCCGACGTTTTGGAAAATTTACACAGCGATAGCACAAAAATAACTTGTTTTGTGTTTCAAAGTCGGAAACTAATTCAGAATGGTTAATAAGATGACAAAAATGAATACAGTAACCAGGGATTTATTGAGCTCACACAAAGAGTTAATAGGTGCAGAGTTCTGTTTAGTAGCTCATTTTGATAAGACCATTTTTTGAGCTTACAGCTCCTCCATTCACTGTGGCTACTTACTAATTATTTCCTGAATTAATCTCTAGATTTTCTCATCTGCCAGGCTGTTTTTTATCGGACGAGAGTGGCTGATTTTTGGAATTTATAAAATGTGTGATTCCTGAAGCATAAAGCACGTGTTTGGAGGCGAAAGATTCGAAGGAATTTTATAAGGCTTTGAAGATTTTATGACAGTTTATGTTCTGCACTCTGTTTCAGTGGAACTAACCCGCTGAATAAAACCACCGGTCAGTTTGTCGCTGTCATGCGTGGTAATATTGAATAATTTGAAACATGGTCACTACGCGCTTAAATTGACGACGATGAAAAAAGCTCTTTGACTAAAAAATCTCGCCCGGCACTTTTGGAACTGTAGTAGCCTAAGTGCATGTGGTGTTGCTCTTTGAAAGAGCTGGAAGGCTGAACGTCCGGTCAATACAGAAATGCTTTTATAAAAAGTAAGGCTCAACCAACAATGAATTCTTTTCGCTTACATCAGCTTATTTTCGCTGTTGTTATCTGTAACTCTATAAATGCATCCTATTGATTACTGCAAACTCCTATAGAAATTTATCCAGTGCCAGTTCTGTCTTATCGCTGAAGCACCCAATCAGTATAATCGTTCCACGCATAGGGAGTCTGCCACTGCTTCTGATTTTTGTACCAGTCATACCTGAAATTTAAAAGATTGCTTAATAGTGACGTAATGAGGACTTTTAAGATTAAAGGTAGTCTCTGAAAGTCTTGCTGAATGTTCTTAGCTAATTTTGGAATGCACAGTGACGCAGCCGAAATATTTTGGAGGATGATACTTGTGGAACGCTCAATAGAGGGAAAAGCGAAATTTGAAAAAACGCAATGGCGAGCTTTTTTCTCAATATTTTGCCAAAATAATCAACATGTTAACAAAAGCAAAGTAAAAATACCAGGCAAAATAGATTTAAAAAATGTGTGAGACAACTGGAAATTTCAGCGCTATATTTACTGAAAGGCATGCCAAAATTGGCAGCTTTTTCAATTTTTTATTTAAAAAAAAGGATAAGATATGCGTAGTACGGGAAAAGTATTCTCTTCTTTAACTTCTCTTTATTTGCTTTCTATTTTTACGTGGCTACTTTTAACGCCTTTCATGCATAACATTTAGTTAGATTATTCCTAAATGTTTTTGCAAAGTTTCTATTAGTAGCAACATTTTGCAGTAAATAATAATAATGTCGGAAAATGTGGGAAATTTTTGTGTTAAGCAGTGGCAACGACGAGAAATCCGTCATGTTATTTTGCAGTTAGCTTTTGTGGATATACAATTAGTGGAAGCGCCAGGAGACGCAAAAAATGATATCACTTCGAAACGTTATTTTTGACTCATTTGCTGATTGCGAATTCTCAAAAATTTTAAAAATAATGTCTCACACCACTGAAAAAGCTGTAATAGTTGCGTAGTCGGAACTCTGTCTAACGCCATTTGTCAGTATACGTAGTGACTCTCGATAAATGATTGTTTAGCCCCCACTTACTGATCTATCATATTTTCAAGAATTTTTTAGATTACTCCGTTTCAAATCTGCAGCACCGGCTTTAATTTGAATTTCAATCTGATACTGAAACAGAGCTAGGTTTGTAAGCTAATTTATATTGGGTCGAATATCGTGAAACATTCCTCTCAAAATTAATATCTATGGTTTTCCCACTCTTGCAATCAATTTTAGTTTAGAGCGGCTTTCGTTGGCCAAAATATGGGAAGTTCAAAAAGTGCTTTTAAATTTGAAGTCTTGCAGAAAATTAGCTTACACTCTCAAAACTTTACCCTCAAAATTCAGAAGCCCTTTAACCGAGTGATTCGGACGCAAATAAGTAAGGTGTTGCCACAATACACAGTTTTTTTCTCAACCAGTGCAAAATCAAGTTAAAAAAAGATTAGTTTCCTGAAGATAATAACTGCGTCTGGATGCTAAAGCAGTAGATTGGCAGAAGGAAAATTGCTCTTTCTGCATCTGAACGATTAAAATATTATCCAGATTGCAAGTGTACAAACCAATTCAATCGGCGGAACGAATTTGTAAGCGTTTTTAAGGAATATTAAATTGCGCTCAAAGATTTTTTTTTTGTTGAATCAATCCAAGTATGTCTCTGCCGCTACTCTCTGGTCAGTTTCCAACTTTTTATTCCCGACGACAACGCTGCTAGACAAATTAAAAGTTCTTAGAAAAATTAAAAAGTCAAATTAAAAGTTCTTAGAAAAACCAAAGACAACTTGCCATTTTTTTTGTGCAATCATTTCGCCGTCGTACCAGTCGTACCACTTTTTATCTCTGAATAACTGCCTGTAAATAATATGTATTCATGCATTTCTGCGCATTTCTCTGTTCTCACATAAATCTAATAAATTAGTGGACCGAGATAATTATGCGTTTGCCGCACAGCTTGTTGAGAACAAAAACTGTTTTGCTGGCTAGAGCATGCAACGCCCTTCTGTTGTGTAATGACGTTTTGTTTAAAAATTCAATCATACAGTGCGTTAGGGTCACTAATTTTGAAACATGTAGCTTTTGGATTTTAATTTTATGATGATAACCTGAATATAAGCCTGAACTTGCAATTCAGAGCGCAGTAAAGGAATTCAAAAGCTAATTCGGGCCTAGGCATCTTGCATCCTGTAGTGGACTGGATCCTTAAAAAATCGTGATCCTAATTTCGTAGCTTTATTCGTTTCCATGTCACAGCAGTAGCCAAAACGTGGTCTTACGACTGTATGTCGGAAAGTAATGGGAGCTACAGGTGATCTGAGATCTTGTTACAACCTAACATATCCAGCATTCTCCAGACGGAAATGTTTTGCACCTCATTATTCACGAGAACGCAATAAATTATTGCTCATCTCTCAATTTGCGCATGCTTTTTTTTTGCGCATGCTCCCTGAAATTTCGCTTTTACTACAATCTAACAACTTATGATTTTTTGAATAATAACTCCAAAAAGGTATTTCTGTTTAGAGTTATAGTTCAAAAAATTTCTTTGCGGAAAGACGCAATAAATTATTGCTCATCTCTTTATGAAAATCGCTTCTTCAATTTTCGTTTTAAATTCCAAAGTATACGAAGTCATCAGCAGCAAATAGCGTCCTACTCATGGTTGTTTTTCAAGGTTCATATTGCTGTCATTGGGATTAATCAGAGAAAACAGAAATAAATAGGATAGCAATGCTTTGAAAAAAGTGAATGAACTGAATGAAAAAACAGAAGGGCGGCGCAAATCATCGGTCAATTTTATTAGGATAGGTATTTCATACATAACAAGCAATTTTGGCACTTTTATGAACAAAGTGATGGAGTTAGAGAAAGACTTTCGGCGTTTTTTTCGGCGTGAGAAACTTTCATTTATTTTAAACAGCAGAAGTTTAATAATGTTGCATATTTCGATTTCATATTCGTCGAAGTATTAATTGGTTTGTCAAGTTGTAAATTAGTGAATAATCAAGCTTTTTATGTGCTTATCCAAATTTGCTACTTTCGAAAAAGTCCCTGATGCATCGCCCGCCCTTATTTCTCATGCACTCTGCTTCACCGTTGGGACACATAGGTAAAGCAAGAAAAATTGTATGATGCTGAGGCAGATTGTCTTGGATCTGCTCGGCAATATTTTCTGTTCAGGGCCTTTCATTTTTTTTCTTATTCAACTCTGATGTTTTTGCCTGGTTTTTTTTTTTCAA